GCGATGCACTTGGAACTTGTAGGCGACTTAACGAGTAACAACTTTTTATTGGCGCTTCGTAGATTCATATCTCGTAGAGGAAAACCGAAAAACATCTATTCTGACAATGGTACCTCATTTGTCGGTGCTTATAATGAGTTAAAAACATTTTTTAAGGCAAATTGTAACTCGTTGTCCGAAAAATTGCATAACGATGAAATTAACTTTCATTTTATTCCGGCCTATTCTCCACATTTCGGTGGCCTCTGAGAAGCTCGCGTTAAATCAACCAAATTTCATTTAATGAGAGTGCTGGCTAATTGTAATTTGACGTACGAAGAGCTTAACACGACTTTGGTTCAAATAGAAGCAATTTTAAATTCTCGTCCGCTAACACCGCTGTCTTCACATCCGGACGACTTGATGCCACTGACACCGGGGCATTTCCTCATTGGTCGTCCATTAATATCAACACCGGCTCCAGATTACCAGGATTTTTCTACCAATCACTTAACTCGTTTCCAACGAATAGAACAGCTTCGACAACACTTCTGGAAGAGGTGGTGCAAAGAATATGTGTCGGAACTTCAACAGCGAACGAAATGGCGCACGCGACACGCTGATTTGAAACTAGATTCGCTCGTATTGATTAAAGAGGAAAATCTGCCGCCTTTGAAGTCTAAGCTGGGGCGAGTTGTTGGTATTTATCCCGGTTGCGACGGCATCACTCGAGTGGCAGACGTCAAGATCGCCAATGGATCGATAACAAGACGATCATTTTCAAGTATCTGTCCTCTACCTAAGCCCGATGACCAGTAAATTGGTTGAAATGCAAGATTTCAACGGCCGGGGGCATATTCAGAAATTATCCCACATTTTAATTTATTTATAAACGCCTGCGGTATTTGTCATAGCAACAAGTCCCAATTAAAATTTTGTTAATCAAATGTCATTGACCTCAGTGTACAATTTGAATAGAAGTCGTTAACATCTTCCTAAGCATTTTTATTCACCACCTGATTATACTCCCGAACAAGGAGAGTAAATGTAAAAGTTTAAATAGAAATTGAAACAAAGAGCATTTAATTGACTCCTGACACCCATTACTTTTAAATTACAGAATCATTCTTTATACCCCACTACCGAAGGGAAGTAATTTTTTTGAACGTATATCTCTATTATATTATTTCTCGAAGGTTTTTTTTAAAATTCTGTATGCTTATTATAAAAATGAATTCTGGCTGATTTTTGAGAAAAAAGAAAGTTATTTTAAAAATCAGTGAAACTCGGGGACTGCCGCGGTAAAGTTACAAAACGTAGTGATTACATTCTCTTTGGTAAAGTTATTGCCAAAAAGAATGTAATGACTATGTTGTTGACTATTGCGTAGTATTTTTATCAACTTATGCAATTACAATTATTTAATTATTTTTTATTTATGCAGTATTTTTTAAAGTTACTTATTGTTTATTAAGTTAATATCGTTTAAAATATTTTTATTATTTTACAATACATGTAGGTTATTCAGGAATTTTTTCATTGAAACTATAGGTTTATGGTAACCGAAATAAGAAATCGTACAGTCGTACCATATACATACACGTTAAGCGAACGCTCGGCCGCACTACATGGTAGGCGGAGTGGGGGGTTTTAGGTTTTATTTCCGTTACGGAATTTGTTGATTCGGTCGCCGCGCTCAAAGCCCGCGATAAAAGCTATGCAATAGCTTAATAAAAAAAAATGTTTTGTTTCATATTTACGTAGAAATACGAATATTTTTAACTTTGATAACATTTATTTTAGAAATTTTTAAATTGTTTATAGTGCTAATCTTTGCACTTAAGATTGAACATTAAAATATGCGAAAAGATTGTCGCCGCTGTGGGAATTGAACCCACGTCTTCGGCATTCGCGGCCTGACGCTCTAGCCACTGAGCTAAACGGCTGATTACCACACCGACGAAAATCTTAACGCATTCTTCTACATTGTTTTCTTAGCATTTGAAGCAATGCTTGGCGCCATCTATTGTTATATCCTTTTCCAGCATACAAACAACTTCGAATATCGTTTTACAACGATAATTCGAACAACGTTTTTCTACATATTTTAATGTTCAATCTTAAGTGCAAAGATTAGCACTATAAACAATTTAAAAATTTCTAAAAAAAGCAATGGCGCCATCTCTCGTTCGAATTATCGTTGTAAAACGATATTCGAAGTTGTTTGTATGCTGGAAAAGGATATAACAATAGATGGCGCCAAACATTGCTTCAAATGCTAAGAAAACAATGTAGAAGAATGCGTTAAGATTTTCGTCGGTGTGGTAATCAGCCGTTTAGCTCAGTGGCTAGAGCGTCAGGCGTTGTCAGCGGCGACAATCTTTTCGCACTTTTTCTACATATTTTAACATTTATTTTTTTAAACCGTATGAAATATTGTTAATACGTTACGCAGTGACGATGCAGAGAGATGAATGCAAAGAGTGGTGGGAAATTAAAAGTAATCGATCGATGATGGCGAGGGTTTTTGGTGTAAAGCGAAATATAATTAAAAAGCGGAAGTACTTTCATTTTTTATTTTAATAACTTATGTTACGCTTTCAGTCCTTAGACTATTAAAGCTTCATCGAACGCAGAACCGGTGGGCTCAGTGGGTAGGGCCGAGCATGTACTCATGCGTGCGTTAGTTGTGACATTGACGATTGTGACGTTGATATACCTTTTGTTTTGGACGACGGGTACTTAAAAGAAAATATATTTCTATCACTTACGACCGATACTGTTAAAGGTAAGGAAGGGGAGGGAAATTAATTGTGAACACAAGATGAATGTCACATTTATTTTTTCGATACACGATTACATTCACAACCGATAAATTACAAATAAACATTGTTAGTAAACTACGACTAGGGTTCAGTAATTTCAAAAAATCACATCAATTATTTTTCCAAATACAAATATCAAAATGAGCATTTGATACTTACGCATAAATTTAAATTACGTCTCAATTTATACACTTAAGATTTTAATGTACTTGAACGTCTTAAAAAAAGTATTAAATAAATTGACGTCTTTTAAAACCATTGGCATAAATAACTTAAAATATACAACAGACAAAAAATAAAAATAAAATTTGGTTTCAAAAATATAATCTTTACTAGCGGGAAGTTATTTAATTAATTAAGCGTACAAAGGTATTAATGTTAACATGGTATTAATTAATTAAAATGGAAAAAAAAAAAAACAATAAATGCAGTTTTTCTCAGAGACGGTAATTAGCACTTAAAGTAGTTCATTTTTGAGCTTCAGTCTCCATAACTTTAAGAATCGATAAACGAGTTTAATTCTGGCGCTAATTGAGATCTCTGAGTGTGGTGGCGCTTAGTTATAATTCAGAAGGAAACTTATACTTTATACGAATAAATTAGTGCAGGCAGTAAAAATTGTATATTTCAGTTAGGGAAATATATTAATTATAAATTACCCACAAATAGAATTTTATTCAAATTATATGTATGTCTATATATTATGTATGTCTTCCATCGATTCCCCACTATCGTTTGATAACCCTTAAATATACAGGGAGGCTTTTCTAAGTGTATCCATTTTTTTAAATTAAATTCTAGGCATAAATAATATTTTATAAAAAATGATGATAAATATTTAAAATCACTAGTAATTAATTAATTAGATTCATTTGAACTTATCCCAAAAAGTGCGTGATTTATAGGCAACTCATTTATTTTACGCGCCATCATTCATAACTAACACGCACAAACCTGTTTCAAAAGTATACGACGCATTTAATGAATGACTACCGCATTGTCAACAAAGTTCTGTTTTTATAGAATAGAATGGCATTTTTTTGAAAAAAAAAATGTTTGTTTTTATTCTAATAAACGATTATACCATCGAGTCTGAACCTTCTGTGTGAATTTGGGCACCTTGAGAAAAGCCACCCCGTATACTATTTTAAACATTTCGAAAAACGTATCTATCTTTTAAAATTGATTAGGGCCACGCAACTCTTCACTGTTGCACGAACGTAATACGACCACACATGCGTTTCATCTGGTGAGTGAGTTAACCGGAGCTTTATTAAAAGGTGGCAACGTATCTGCAACCCCACGGGTGTTTCAAATGTCCATGGCCGGCGGTTATCAATTAACCTTCTCACATAAAAAAAAAAACTCATAATTGATCTTCCTTAATATTGAATGATTAAAACTATACTACTATTGAATGGTTAAAACTGAGAACTCTGTAAAGGTATAGGAGGCCAATCTTTGTTACCTGTTCTAATTAATTTGGCTCCCTAGTCTCATTAAGAAACCCGGGTATTATAAAAGTATACATTGGTTAACTGGTATACGTATAACTGTTGTCACGAGATCCTGGCCTGGATTAAGCCAGCTGTTCCAAGGCCCTGCACATCAATTGGTTAGTGCTCCATTAACCGAGCTCGTAAAAAACCTTAAATCTAAAACATCACATGACGCTTGTAATTCTACGGAACTATCTTCCGTTCGATATGAATAGACACCTAGATATATAGACGGACAACAATCGACATTGCGATAGTAGAGAGGATAGGTACATCAAAGTGGTCCTGTGGTCTAGCATACCTCACAGAAGACCGGCGCCAAGTAGGCGGCTTTGTACCTTCAATTGGCCATCATGGTGAGGTATCCGAAGGCAAATGCTAGAGGTCTGATTCACATTCTGCTTCTAAGCATACTTTGGTGACGGTTTCGAAAAGATTCGCCACAGTAACAGTAACAACAGTAAGCATACTTCTGAATGAGTATGCTACCTCGGGTGGAAGATTGTATGCTTGTACGTGTAAACTAAGATATGTTATGGGTGTGATTATCAGACGTGCTACGAGTATCGTATGGCAACCCATTGGTTTTGAGCCGCTTGGCCATTGACCACTAACCACACTGGTTAGTTAGTTTTTTTTTTAATCTTAAGCAAAAACTAATCACCCTGCAAGCTCTTAAATAGAGCCCAGACGCTTAATAGCTCCAGTGGTCCCCCCTGACGTCCCTCTCCCCCTCGCCCTGCCGGTAGCCGGATATGAACGGCAGGCCGGTGCCCACCTGCTTCTGGTAGGCCTCGTACTCCGGCCCGAAGAACGCAAGCAGGGTCATCTCCTCGGCGTAGACCCTCTCGCGGAAGAAGGCCCAGGAGGCGAGCGCGTAAATCCCCACGCACACCGGGTTCAGCAGGATCACCTGGTCAAAGGGCATGGTATGAGTCACTAGGCGTTATGTTAGCAAACATTTATGCGTTTGCCTTCCATTCGAATTGAGTGCAGGGAACGTTTTGGGCAAGCGGGACAGAATACCCGTCTCCTTTATTATATTTTGACGATCATCTCTCGGCAAGCTTTGGACGAGGTCCGTATTTATAAGGTAACTAATTAAAAATAAAAGAACTACAGAATATTGTGGGAAAAATGTGCCCTGAAATATGAGCACATTTTTCCACAACATAATGTGGTTCCAAACAAGTTACACATATTGTTATTTAGTAAATAAATACGTGATATAAATATATAACATCCACACAGACACTGGAATACCTGTGCTAGGGCCACGCAATGCTCTTTGCTGTTGCATGAACGGGCAGGTCCGTCCGGGACAGTACCACAACCTCACAGAAGACTGGCGTGAAGTGAATGCGTTATACTTCTGCATTTCGTCTGGTCAGGGTGGCAAGGAATATGCAACCCTACGGTTGTTGCAAATGTTTGGCCGCGGTTAGCACTTAACATCAGGTGAACTGCCAGCTGGTGTTTTTTTTTATTTTTACATATAAAACAACCCATAACACAAGATATCACGTCCATCCACTGCCACTCGATGACCCGAATGGCGTATTGGGTAGTGTACCTGTCTCCTGCGCCAGGGGGTGTGGGTTCGATCTCCACTACTACAAAAATATTGTGTGATGAACATAGTGTTTTTCTGGGTGTTTATATATGTATAATATGTATTAAATTACAAAAAAAAGTATGTTTAAGTATGTTTATCAGTTTTCTAGTACCCATAGTACAAGCATTGCTTAGTTTGGGACTAGAAAATGTCGTGTAAAAATGTGTCCTAAAATATTTATTTATTTGCTATGTGGTAGAAGGACCAGCCAACGATCCCGCATTAATAATATCAGTAGAGGTATACCTGAGTGCCAATAGACCAGTAGAACCATCCCACGTAGCTCGGGTGCCTACAGAGGGCGTACACGCCGTGAGTTACCAGACGATGTTCCGGACGCTTTACAAATTGCACCTGCACATATAACAATTCACCATATTAAGCTTGAAGTATATAATTATTTATTTAAGATTAATTATGTATAAAATGAGAAACTAACCAATGTATCAAAGAAAGATGTCATTCAAGCGGTAAGTACTGTTTAAACCATGGACAATCAGATATTTGAGTATTCTTTCAAACCCTGTTTCAAGTTCATATTCACATAAACAAAGTCATGAGCATAACATAGTTATTGCATTGATATCCTACGTAGCGAATAGCAAATAAAAAAGAAAGTAAACTGGGGTCCTCTATAGCTTGATCTTATTTAAGCATGTTTTGTTTTGAATTTTGAGTTTCCATTAATGGAATAAAACATTTTTAACATTGCTACCATCAGATTATTATATATTTCGGTTGATTATTTTCTAATTTAATTTTAGTTTTATTATTGCACCTGCCTAAAGATCTCACCACACCATAGGTTGACTGGCAGAGAATGCCTAAAGGCATTAAATCCGCCTATTTGTTCCGTATTAAAGTAAATGCAATAAAGACTAAAATAAAGAATAAATAAATACCCCATACAAAGAGGTTAATTTGCTTGTTACAAGGTGAAAAAAGGTAAATTTGAATCTACAAAAGAAACAAACTGGACATCAATAACAGAAGATATTTACAATTAAAAATTGATGCCAAATATTGAAAATTGCTTATCAAAGCACCTCCCATTCCTCCCACTAAATAATACTTATAGTTTCTTATTGATTTCATGTTAGTCATGGGTACTTAATTTTAATTTTGAATATTTAACTTTAAGTTTCATTAATAAATATATAAATAATAATAATTTACATGTCTTTTTTCTTCGTCTACACCTCACTATAGTTATCAGTCAAAATACAAATGAAGTTGATAAATTTTCAAAAATGCAATATTAGTTTATGGTAATTTGAGGGTCTACACAAAATCGTAAAAACAATATGGTTTGGAGAATGGTGGTCTACACCAATGACGAAAAAACATAAGGTGTACAAGAGTTGGGAAACTGTTTGCAAGGCAATAGTTTTATCTGGAGAAGAGCAAGGTTATAAATAATTTTTGTTTGCATGAATTTCTTTTGATGAATTATAAAGACCTTAGTGCAATTCAGCACATAATCGATCTCCATATAAACCTTTTGCATTAATGCAATATTAAAAGAAACAAACATGGTTACACTCATACTTTTACATAATTATATAGGTTCATATTATATGTAGCGTGAAAAATATGTTTTTCAGTTCATTATAACAATTTTTCATTTCAAAATAACAATTGAAAAAAAAAATGGTTTAATCAATCATCTGTAAATACAAGCGTCGAGAGTGACATACTGTAAAAAGGCATTCTATTTTTTCTAAAAACTACTATATTAGTTGAAGAGTTATAAGCATTTTTATTATAATGTTGCTTTTGTGAGATAGCGACAGGTATTTAAACGTCTAGAAAGGCTGACACTGTGAATAGACATGTAGAATAATGAAACAAATAAAAAAAAAAGCTGTTTTCATTTATTATTCATTAAAAGTTACATGCTGAGCAGAATATAGCGTTTTTTTTTTATTTTATTGCTAACATCTGTTGCTAGATCAACATGGGTCTAAATCAACATTTATTATTTTATATCTGATTGGCTTTTTTCCGTTATTTTGAAATGAAAAAAAAAATGTTATTTTAAATGAAAAACTAATATTGTGCCTTATTAATACAGACTTACTGTGTGGGTAAAATTAGTTTTTGCAGTGAACATTGCTTTCTTACGCAGCATCTCCCCACCAATACACATCATTACGCCAAGTTCGGACAGCCAAAAATTCAATTTCATTTCTGGAATGTACATTTTATGATTAAAATAAATAATTTCTTAGGTGTAACTAGATATTGAATTTTTATTCTTATACAAAAAAGCATATTTATAATTAGACAGATATAAAAAATTCAAGAATTTTTAAGAATTCACTGATATCATTAATATATTAAGGTGTGTATATAAAATTACATTGAAATATATTGTAAGTATTGAAATTTCGCAAAAAGCAAATAGAAACAGTAAAGCAAATATAATCAAAAACAAATTTGCAAAAACTAAACAAAAATATTGAAAATTTTATTTATTATTCACACATTCGCTAGCTCATAAACCCTTAAACAAAATGTGACTAAATGCCTGTAAAGTGCTGATTAAAATAAGAATATTTTATATTACAAACATACCTGGAAAGAAGTAAAATTCAACAGCCCATTCTATCCAACTCGCCACTGCTGCTAAAGCATACTGAACGCTATGATTCAGAATGAAGGAGTCAATTGTTACAGTCTTCGGGTTTGTCAATGCTACAGCCATAAATTCGGAGAAGTGGAAGAAAGTCAATGCCACCACATACATACCAAAAACCTTCCATCCGTTATTAAATGTCATCAAATAAAATCCCACTGCCATTGCAGACCCTAAGCCTGATGCTCTTAATGTGACCTTAAGAAAGGAAAGGTTTCCATTAAAGATAATTTTAGCATGATTAAAAATCAGCAAAAAACGATAAAAAAGCCTTTAGTTTATTTTTGGTAATTGTGACAAATTTTGCAATATTAATGTGAAATATTATAATATATGTAACAATATATGTTATACTATAATACTTCCTTTTTGGCTTATTTTAGTTTCATCTAAAATTTATCAGGTATTAGTTTCTTTAAGTTTCCGGGTGTTTTTCGACATAAAAAAAATGTAATTAGGTACAGAAAAATCATTAATAAAATACTCACCAAGCAGAATTTGGCGGTTGCTTATAGTTTTCGAGAAAAAAAATTATTTAAAACGTAATTTTCACTTTCTTAGTGAAAATTACGTTTTAAATAATTTTTTTTCACCATTTTACCAATTTGACTTCAAAAACTGAATACACAGTACCGCCAACATGAAAAATATAGGTAGCGGGTGAAGATTAATTTTCTTTTTATTTAAAGAGTGACAGATCCGACACAGAGTGATCCGACTTGGATAGGTTAGGTTAGAAGGTTAAGGCGGGAGCTGCGCTCCCGCCCTTAGACTTCGTGGTTATTTTTTTTATTACCACCCAGAAAACTTTAGTGTAATAGTACTTTTCGTATTTTTAAAGACTCTTTTTTAATAATGCGAAGGTTATAATTTGGAAAAGTGTGTGAATTCACAAATTTATACATGTTGTCAAACACAAAATGGCGGATTAATTTACTGAAAATAACAAGTTTTAAATATTTTTTTTTTCTCGAAAACTATAAGCACCCGCCAAATTCTGCTTGTTGATTATTTCATTAGTGATTTTTCGTAACCAAATAAAATTTTTGTTTGGTCGAAAACACCCGGAAATTTATGGAAATTTTTACCATTTATCATTTAATTATTGTTTAAACGATATTACAATACTACGATTTAAGAGCCGCGGCAGCTCAGTGTCCGAGGATTTAATTCAATATGCTGGAGCAACCTGAGTTTGATTCCCGGTGCCGGCACTAATGAAATTGTAGTTTTAAGTGTCGAATTATCACGTGCTCAGCGGTGAAGGAAAATATCGTGAGGCTGCATATTTTTGCGAAGTAATGAAAAAAATATTTTGAACATATGTGAAGTCCGCCAATCCGCAGTGGGGCCGCGTGGTGGACTATGCCCTGATACCCTCTGTACAGAGGAGGCCTTTCTCCAGCAGTGGGACATATATAGGCTGATACTTTACTTTTTATTGTTTATTACAAAATCGCGTTTATTATAAACAAATTGTGAAAGTACGTCTTCCGAACTTACCTCATAGATAAAGCCGGTGTAGAAGTACTTTAAGAAATAATTTATCAAACAAAGGTAGAATAATGGACCCCAGTATCTGATAGACCATAGTTCTTTTGAAGTACCCAAGAATCCAGATAAAAAACACATGATAAATGTACAGTTTGCGAAACAAAACCAAATGAGAGCCAGCCTGGCAGCAGGTATCATATTCGCCATTTCCTACAAAATAGAAACGCCTTTATTTTACGTTTAGCTTTACTATATATTTTACTGTAATGGAATTAAAAATTTAGTAAATAAATAATAAATACTAAAATATGTCAAAGCAAAGATTGTATTGATTATTACATTGACATTACTTGACATGAGTACCACAGAATAAATGTATATACGGAGTTTTTTATATATAGACTGAGTCAAGAATGTAGATACAAGTGACATTTTGCTTAAAATCAAGGGGGAAAATATTTTCAGGTTGCAAATGAATTTTGTTCGCTTTGATAGCTTTGTCAGATCAGGTTGGCGGGTAGACGACTAACGGATTCTAAAGAAAATAACGAAGTTTATGTACGACGACGGTATCAATGACGTCGTCTATTCCGCTGCAACTCCGCGACCCCTGTAAATGTAAACATAACATGAAAATTCAACTCACAGAAGAGGGTGAGATAACGCAATCCTTGTTTTCCACCAAGGGTGGGTTGGCTTTTCTATCGAGATTGTTATCGTATCTGACATAGCGTGCGATCGCATGTAAGACTGTCGTTGGCGTATAGTGCTAATTCGATGTTAGGGGTCTTTGGGAATTGAGGTTCGGGAGGCATGGGAGGTTTGCTCTAAAGAGGTTGGTGTAGAATAGGTTCAGACTCGCGTTTGATAAAAAATCGTCTAGTTCCACAAGTAGCCTCGTATGATTTTAAAGATCTTGTTTGACATCCCTGAGTGTAGCGTAAAAGTAATCTATTATGCCAGAATTTTTCGAACGACTTTGTAACATCGAACAGAAGTAACCCTAGGTGACTTTCTCCCTGGCCGTCAGTCAGAGTAACAACAAGAAAGTATGCGCTCTTGTAAACTTGGAGGTTGAGCTACTGGGCGGGGAAAAATAATTAAATATAAGCAATTCGACGCTGAATCCGAGCTTATTCGCTTATATAGTTAAATATCGCGCGTATATTGATTAAATAATTATTATGCTATTAAATGTACATAATGCAAATATTCCTTGATCAATATATAGTACCTAATCTTTAGCATTTATGGGACCACGTTTGAAGTTGAGGTGTTACTTTATGTTTTACATAGTAACTTATAAAACGATAGATATTTTTTATTAATCTATTGTAACAATTTTATTACAAGTTTTCTTCAAGCCAACCTGCGAAAGCAAATTATTCATTTTAAAAACTCGCAGTTCTTCTGTTACTATTATCTGTTATTTCAAATTCTCTCCTTTCCTTTCCATCTCTTCAATTTCCCAAATCAAAACAAATCGCTTAGTTTCAGTTTTCACTTAACAATAAGTTGTTCGTATTACCACTTAGCAGAAAAGTATAAAAATCAGGTTTATTATTTGTTAAATTGCTAAGAGGCCGGTTAATTAACTGACGTAATCATGCCGTGACAACATAGCTTTTATCGATGCAGGGAATGTTTTCGCAATATGATTTTCTATGAGAAATAAGTTGAACGTTTACTAAGACGTGGTTTCAGATAAAACCTAATTAGTTCTTAAACTTTATCAAGACCCAGTTGTCATTAATGCTATGAATTTCTAGCTTTTACCCTACTTCTGTGAATTTTACGGCTGTTACAAACTTGCCGAAATGAATGATCCATGGGATGTGAAATCCGTAAGACAATCTAGTCAATACCTCTCCTGTATGAAGCTCAACGGAGTACCACTTCTGCCGCCTGTTGTAAGTAGTATAAAGCACGATTTATACGAGGGTTTAGTACAGTAGACAAGTAAACCTTCGGACAGTGGCGAGTCAATTTGTCTAGCAAGCTGCCTTGCAACTTGACCGAAATAGAATAGAAATAAAAGCGCGCGCTTGACCCCCGTGGGGCACTTGACTCGTCACTTGCCATGGCCGGTGACAGGAAAAAAATTGCACATATTGCTCATCCGTTTCGACAGAGAAATCACTGGCCACTGTACTTGTACTTGCCGAACATCCCTATCCTTCACCAATGTAAATTGGGTGTAAGAGATTTCAATGTTAATTATATTTCAAACTGTTCTCATATATCTCAACAAATAATATTATTGCTCCTTATAATATTATGTTGTCCTAATTTCATTGTATTTATAAGTGTGCCAACACACATCTCTCGCCTAGAAATATTTTGATAGTTTTTGTTCTTTGTTATTATATAATTTTGAACAAAAAAAACCAACTACAAACAGGAAACTAATAAAACATTGTCAACGCCTATAACATTTGAGAATTGCCCTCGATTTCTCTGGGATGCTATCATCAGATTTGGGTTTCCTTATCATGGTACCACCCTTGGGATATCTCCATTCCAACAAAAAAGAATCATCCAAATTGGTTGATAAATGACGAAGTTATCTCTGAACACATATAACAAAAAATAAAAATATATACGGTCAAATTGAGAAACCCCCTTTTTGAAGTTGGTTAAAAACATTTCTCTACAATGTCAATTCAATTGTTATGACACAATGTTTGATGTGGAAGTCAACAAAAGAGATTGTAAAATAAGGTTGATATAGCTGGGAGTAAACATACTTCTGAATATTTAAATAATTTTCATTTAAACAGTTAATTAAAATCCTTTTGGCTGACATACTTTACTTGTAATGAAAATTTTTAAAATGTGTAATTTGAAAACATTAGATCATTATAGTTAACATTAATTAGATATATTCTTATTTTCATTTTAATTTGCCAATTTGTTTTTACTATCTACTAACATAAATGGAGCTTATATTTTTTTCTTCATTTCTTTGATACTACAAGGATTTATTTATATGTGCCAATATAAAATAAGTGAAGTTTAATTTATTTACATTGGAAAGTTTACAGTAAATGTACTAAAATGTATCTGTGTTTGTGCAGTTATCAAAAGAATGCCGAAAAGAAATGCAGTACTATAAGCTCCTTGCAAAAGAAGTTGAGAAAAGAATATCACATCTAAAACTAAATTATTCTGAAGGTGACTCAGATGCTAGTGAAGATAAGACTGATGCCCCAGAACTTCCTGAATCTGAACAAAATGATGTAATACCTGCAGAAGCGTTAAATTCCGACTGCAATGAACAAATAATTGTTAGTGATGTAGAAAAATCACTAAACAGATCTGTGACTGATTCCCCCAAATTAAGTTCCTTGTCCAGTAATAACTCTGACAAAATGACTTCTAATTACACACCTATAACAGATACAGCATTGAATGAATCTTCAAAGATAGTAATTGATCTAAGTTTGAGCTTTAACCCAACAGAAAGCACCTTGCATGAAAATAAACCAATCCTTAAAGAAACCCCCTCTGTTGAAATACCTGTTCATGATGATGATGTTCCTGACAAATTCCCTACACATAAAAAGGAAACTAAAGAAGATATTATAGCTAAAAAAGGAAAGGAAGAGAAGAAAGACAGAAAACCTGTTTTCAGGATAAATAACAAAAATGCAGTTTTGGACCAATTTCTCAATTATGTCAATCATGATGGGCCATCTTCCCTCAGCTCGAAAAGCTTTACCGGATCTCTTCATGATCTTCACAAAGAAAGCGAAACAAGCACTCGGACTAATCCATTAATTAGACAAAGATCATACACCGTTCTGACGCCAAGTCCGATGCTGCTGGCACATTTGAAAATTCAGTCCTTAAACACTGGTGTAGACATTACATCTATATCTATGAGCGAGTCACTGTCTAATATAAGCTCGCCCAATAAAAAGCGAAGAAGTTGGGACTTGGAGACGGCTAAGGTTAAATGGTCTAATATGGCGTTGGAGTTAAAGAAAAAAAATATACCGGTAAATGTGGCCATTGCGGGGAATGGAGATAACAAAATTCATAGCACAAAGAAACGTACAGTTTCAAGACCTGATATGTCCAAAAGCTTACCCAGGTCTCGGTCGGCAGTAACCGATAAGCCTAGGCAGGGGAGCGTTGCTAATAAAACTATGGCTAAATCTGAACCCATACAGAAAAACAAACCAAGTTGCAGTCCACCGGGAATTTCCAATAATCAAGCAATGCCTCAGCAACAGCCAGTTGCCAAAGACCATCAAAAGGCTGAAGTACCTTCGGCAAGACCGCAATTAATTTCTGAAAGCGATGACCCCGCCAAACGCGTGAGAGAATTATATGAGAGAATACAAAAGCAGCAACTTCTACAAATGGCCACGCTCGTCGAAAAGCAAAAGAAGGAGCAGTTACTGTTGCAGCAGGTTTTTGAGGAGCAAAACAATTTGCTCTACACTCAGTTGAAGACGATTTGCCCGAAGGCACCGGGGGAAGTGAAAGAGGCGTGGACGGATAAGGTAGAAACTGCCGAACGTGGACCAGTGAGCTTAAGCCAGTTGATCAATCACAAACCGTCCGACTCCATTGTCCAACACAGTCCAGTCTCTTGCACGTTGACGGACACGAACAACTACATAAACCGGTGCGACAGTGTACTGAAAAAGAGCAGGGACATAACCGGCGGTATGAAGAAGCAGCAGGTGAAAAACAGCAGCGAGAACAGCACCTCAATGTCCGTAGCCAGATCTAATGGAGATGCCGCGAGAGCCCGCCCACTGTCACCGGGCAGTAGAAATACAAGCACGTCTAGGAAACTCACTTACGAGACGAGCGCGTCTACCGAACGCGAATGCGAACCGATTCTGACCGACCGCACGAACGACACGATGGCTGACCTTAACGTGACCTTCCCCTCCGACAACAGTGACGACTACCGCCCCCCGACTAAGCAGACCCCCAGCGTAATGAGCCACTTGTGCGGGACAGAAGTGACCTCGGCTCACGTCAACTCGGCCCCCACGAAAGAAGTCGCTTGTAGGTCGTCAGAGAGCACTGTTAAAAGCGGGCAAGACACGCTGAAGAATTCCATCCTCGACGTAAGAGCGCGGCTTGTGCGGAAAGATTTCTCCCGAGCGCCTACTGCGCAAGAGGTATGTATGTGAAGAACTTAAAAAGCTAATATGTGTGCTCGATTAAGGTATCTTTGTTTGATAATTCTGCATTCACTTTTTAATATCGTCTCTTCGATTGTCTCATTGTGGTCTGGTGTTTTGGATCTAATTTTCTATACATTTTCTGTTCTTTGTTTGTACGACATAATAGTGTTCTTGTAGCTTCTTTACATTGTACCTTGCCATTGACCAACGACATTCCAAAACTTTAAGAATTTTAAATATATACATATATAACTTCTACCTATAGCACTCATTGCTTTTAGTGTCCTGCGTAATAGTCCTTTGATTCTACAGTTAACTAACTGTCCCACTTTTGCGTTAAGAATACTGTATACGTACTGTCGCTTTACCGTATTGGTGTTTGCGTTTCCCCATTGTCGGTACACAGTCTAGTGCACAATTTTATGTACGCTCCCGTCGGACGTCCGTAGCGCGCGGCGGCTACCAAGGTAGTGGCGTACGCGCGGGGTTACTTGGTCCGGCGGCTCATGAGGACCGAGCGGGTGCAAGGCACCGTGCAGACCATCCGGGACGCGCTCCTCTGCGCCCTGCAGCTGCACCAAGACCGCGAGGGCATCCGCGGCGCGGATGTTGACCTGCATCGGCGGCTGATACAGCAGGTGATACCGTAACGGCGTCCCGTATCAAGGTTCCCGCTAGGACACTGCCTGGCACCCCTACTATTCCCTATCGTTAGGAAACTAATATCGATTTCGCAGGTGAATTAATTAAAGAGCAGTAACTAACATATAACAAAGTGACAATTAGGTAATGACATAAATATTACACATACAAACATATCTTATACGCTCCGATATTTATTTACGCGTATTGAGAATCCAATTTTGGTCTATTACTTTCAAGTAATTGTGTATCGGCCTTTCTTGTATATAATCGTAGCACCAGCTTTTGGTCTTATACGTGGTGTTGGTTTCTCTTTATTTGCCTCCCATTCCCACTTAATTTCACTAACCTATGTATGTACTAAAATTATTATCTGTATATGACATAGTCTACACCGTATTTACTTTGTATCTTTATAAGATTTTTTTCGATGGATCATTTGCTTTATCAACGTAAGTTACAAAAACAACGTGCCGTTCAGACTAAGTATCGATTCGACTAGTTCCTTATCACTTTTGAGAAGGTCTTCTCTAATCGTGGCGTTAGCTTGAGTAAGACTTTTGAAACGTCAGTTTGATTTAACGTTAGCTTTGTTAGAAGTTAAAGAAATTTTAAATGAAAATCTACTTTTATTTTTTCTAGAAAGATGGTTTGTTTAAGAAATCTATCTATAGTCAGATCTTGAAGAATAAAGTTGGCGGGAAGACTTAACAATCACTATACCCAATTATATTCCGATCTTCTACTTAGCCAACACCCTTAGACCTTCAGGCCTCTAAATAGTTTGATGCGTGCTCAGATTACGGCGGCCTGCTACTCCCTCCACGACACGTTCATCACCAGCTCGACAGCGGAGCGCTGCGCTCTGATCGCCGCCGACCGGAGCCGCCGCCGCTCCCTGGCGCTTCGCCCCTCGCCGCGCCAGTACCGACCCACGTGAGTATCCGCGAAAGGGAAAGTCCGATAGGCCCAGATAGATAGTGATTTTCAAAGTCACTCCTGTCATGGACGATTAACTATAACATAAAAGTGCGACCACGCAATAACTTTCGTTGTTGTAGTAGGTAGGTCCGTCCGGTTGAGTACCGCGGCCTCAAAGAAGACCAGCGTGAAGTTTTGTCTAGTGAGTGAGGTAGCCGGGGTCCGCTGCTTTTAAAGATGTCGTAGATTTATTCGGCCGCCAGTGATCACGTTATATCAGGCGCCCGCTTGCTTGCCAATTGTTAACATAAAAAGGAAACACTTGAATCTCCAAATAAATTGAGTTATGCATATACAGGGTGGCTTTTCTAAAGGTGCCCAAATTCACACACGAGGTTCGGACTCGGTAGTATAATCGTTTATTGAAATAAAACAAACTTTTTTTTTTTATCAAAAAGTTGCCATTCTATTCCCTGAAAAACAGAACTTGTTGACAATGCGGTAGTCATTTACAAATGCGTCGTATACTTTTGAAACTAACTTGTGTGCGTGTTAGTTTGAATGATCGAGCGTAAAATATAATTATGAGTTGCCCACATTCATTTGAACTTTTTCAGATAAGTTCTTAAATATTTATGACTTTTTATATAACGTTATTTATGTCTTGAATTTAATAAAAAAAAATGGATACACTTAGAAAAGCCTCCCTGTATGTGATGTATATAGTGTCGCGGTGCTCGAAACTAATTTTTTACTCTACCTGAAATGCCAATGAATGATTCATTGGCATTTTTCAAAATTGAAACACATGAACTCCTAGGGTCGTATCTATCACTTTGGATTCTTGGTATGAGACGAACTTCTGCACATCCCAATGCATCCGGTCTATGAGACTAAAGCAAACATCTCGAGGCCGTTCAATCAAATTGGACACAGCTGTTCTTGCGCCATAAGCAGCCACTTTAATGGATATTCGGCTGTGATAAGTGATTGCGTCTGAGCCGTCCGGACTGCGGATGGGTCCAGGTAGTGTTGCGCAACCATCGATAGTTGACCTCGAAAACTATTCAGGATGTCGATTGTACTATCGATAGTATCGTCTAAGTCAATACTGTCGATACTACCGATAGTATCGATGGCTCTCCAAGTGCCAATACTATTGATAACAGCAATACTATCGATAGTATCGATAGTAATGCATGCGATAGTATCGATAGTATTGCAATTGCCATCAGTTTTTGACAAAAACTCGATACTATCGATAGCCAGTTAAAGGCTATTGGTAGTACAAAATCTTCACATAATATATCTATGATTTTGTACTACACACGTGACAAGGGACAATACTTTCGATAGACTATCGATGCTATTGCTTTTACCTTAACTATCGTTAGATAATCGATTGTCTATCGATAGCAGACTATCGATATGCAACACTAGTTCCAGGTCTAGAACCAGAAAGTGGAAGGGCGTAAAGTCACTTTACGATGCGTTTGCTATTCTAATTTGTGGACCAGGGACGTAATGTCGCATAGCCACACGGGCTCGTTCCCGACGCGCGCCCGCCGCTCCTCGCCCACCTCAGCGATGACTCAGTCCAGCCACGGTAAAGCCAGTGCCCAGTGTTGTGCGCTAATGTTTGTTTCGCGAGTTTGTAGCATCACGCATCGGTGAATGTGCACAGCACTATTTGATTATTGGCATAGTTTTAAATTATATTTGTATGTATGCACTTAGATGTTTTTATTTAACTTTCCGATGAAATTTTGTCTCGTATTTATTTTTATTCCACCGACTATTTTTTATTTTATAAAACGTAGGGGCAGAAACGTTTTGAAGTGATTAACTGTTTAATTCGATTCGTGTGTTATTCCTATGGGAAATCATGTTAATGGGACACATGTGGAGAGTTATGACATCATTTCACAGAAACATTCTACTTGACCAGAAGCAAGTTTTGAAGTTTTCTAAAATAAAATGAGTTTCAAATATCTGAAAAATAAAATGACATAAATGGGGTCGCCTGGTGTACTATTCCCTGATACCCTCTGTATATATGCTGTTACTTTATACGGCGTATCTTTACCATCGCGACAATAAATGAACACACATATAGAGGATAACTTTTTTAAATTGTATTAAAGATTTACATTCTTTAAACATCAACATTTACCGAGTTATTACATTTTCCAAAAGAAAGAATTTCAGAACACCCTTACGTATAAAACTGTAACGTAAAGTACATTTGTAAAGGTCACAAAGCATATGAATGGGTTGAATGAATTTAAAAGAGACAAAACATACTGTTAGAAGGAGAGGCTTGTAATGCGGCGCTGTGGCAACGAATGAAAAAGTCTCTGAATGTATGAATCAGTCAGTTGCAGTGTATATCAGTTATATAGGATAGGATGTTAAAAATTTTGTTTCTTTTTTTACTTAATTAGTTTGTTTGAAAAATATTTTTTTATAATTATCAAGCATCATCAAGTGTTTGAGTTGTTATTAAGTTTTATTTTCATGAGATTGTAACATATTATTTGACTTTAGTTAAGTAGTTGTTTCAATTTATTAGTAAAGTAATAGTAGTGTTTTTTTGTTGTTTATTTTAGCCCATATTCAGTAGCTTTGAGTAAAGCTTGCATTTTTCACTGTGTGTTCGTGTCCCAGTTATATGCAATTCACATTAAACAAAGTATGTTTTTATCCGTGAATTTTCTGTTTAACTTTGCATAAATTTAAATGAAATAACAAAATATGTCTGTCTTAACGTGCACTTAGTTAATGCATGTGTGAATATTAACTAAAATCAAACAAGTCAGTTACATGCATTTTACGTTTAGTGTGTCGAGTGAGGAACCAAGCTTTTTGTAAAACATTTATTTATTTATTAACGGTCAGTGGCGTCATTTTTGACGTAAACGGAGCCATTTTTTAAAATCTCTGAACAAATTAGCACTTCTTCAAAAATAATTAGCACATGGCTTTAAATGTTATGAAAATTAATTGTTTTGTGTTTTGCTTTGCGCACCAAGCATGATTGGTATGGCAGCATTTGTTAAGCATGTATTTTTCAACGACCTCTACGATTAAAGCAATGTGTGCGGATGTAGTTTAGATGGCCGATTAACACGTTTGGTGTGACAGAGAGCTATAGCGGCGAGAAGCTGGGGCTCCGCCCCCGCTACGTGGGCAGCCCGCGACGGCGTCCGTGGCGCTGACCGGCGCCGCGCCAGCTCGGGTGCTTCGCCCTCTGCTGGCAGCCGCGCGCCTCCGCCGTCTGATCTCCGCCGCTACTGCACCGTACGAAATATACCTTATACGAACATATTGCGCCGTGTACGTTGTATTACTACGACGTACGTAAACCAGTTAGTGTAAGCAGACGCTTTTAATTGTTTTATACGAGCTTAAAACATTCCTTCGACTTTCCAGTATGTCGATTATTTATCAGCGCACTGTTCATATATCTGCTTTAAATATTGTATCTAATCGCTTATCTAATTTTCATGTATCAGGCTTTTTAGTGTAACTAAATTTCACTCGAAATTTATTGAACTCGACAAACGATATCCATATTTCGACATGGGGTGATAGTTACGAAGTACCTAAGGGTCTTTTTTTATAAAAGATGATGCAATGAAACTTTCATGACTGACTACTGTATAGGTGATAATTGTGGCCAAGTAATGGAGCTACGGAGACCATGTTTACGAAAGTTGGCTCTTTGCTAAGTAAAGTGACGAGTGATAAACAATGGTTGTATACAAATTTCACGACCCTTCCGATAAACCGAGGTGCCTGCACGTAGTTTTTTTAAAGTTTGTAACTTGTTAATATAATAATTGTAATAATTATGTTGCCAGCGAAGAATGTCTATAGTAATTTGCCGCCAAACAGTATCGATTTTTGAGATTATTTTTAAATAATTATCGGATATAAGTATCTCTTTCGGATCTCGTAAAATTTTAATTGGCCTTTACGCTTTATAAACTTTGGCAAATATGTTGATGTTTGGAATGATATTGAAGCTATTTTTCCGTCACATTTCTATGTTAATAGTGATTAACTAATCACTAATTGTATATCATGTAGTAAACGAGGATTTTAGCTGCTGTACAATGCTGAAATTATTTTTTCAACCTTAACACTTATTAACTTATGAAATAAATAAAGAATAGTATAAACGATGTGCCGACAAATAAAATTTTATAATTATGTTTTAGATTAGTTTTAAAAAGCGTTTACGTACCTACCTATGTTTCTTCGTTTTAAATAATTTTATTTTTAGAGTGGTAACCAACAATTCACAAGCAATCTCTAGTCGTATTTACAATACCTTCGATTTTAATTTACTTGTTCTATTCTAAGTGTTTTGAAAACGCGAAGTGTGCAAATTATATACAACTCTAATAATAAAAAAATTAAGCAAAGAAAAAATTCGGCGTCGTCACTATCGACTTGATGTTTTGAATTTAATTATGAATAGTATTATTAATTTTTGTTACCTTTCATAAAAATATACATCTGCAAAGATAATTCCAAAAACACTTCGCGGTTTCTTGACCATAATAATGATACCAGGTAATCTGATGATTTGTAAAATCTGGGAAGCCCTTAATTTATTTTGCGCATTTAATTTAGTTTTTAAATTATACAAACAATAACAGAGATTGAAACAAGCTTTTTAAAAGATATTTATTTTGTAAGTTACTTTTACTTTTTTCAATCAATATTTTTAACTCCATAAAACAAAGAGTGAGAGTCCTATATTTTTATGTAAATATATATTTGTACCGAATAAATAATAAAACAGGTGATGCTATACTATGGGTTGTTTTAATTGAAACTAGAATATGCTCGAATTTTATTTATTTATTTTTCCATCCATATACAGAGACCCCCATCTGATTTTGACATCGAAAATATTTTTGATAAAAATACACGTGTGTTAAAATCATTATTACCCAACGTTGCGCCGGAAAGGGAACGCAAACTATAGAACAAACCTCCGGATTGGTGGCAGCGGGTGAGCAAAATTATTATACTACCATAAATATACGAAGTTACCTATTGTAGACAGTGAAAGCGTGTCTCGAAGCACAAATTAGAAAAGGAATCACACGGTTCACACTAGCACTGTACAATCGTGTCCGTCCGTTGCACTCGCGAGCCGCGTCGACAAGCATCTAGATCTATCCGTCACTGAGAATCCGCCAGGGGCGCTGCGGGCGACGGTCGTGGCGCTGGCGGTGGTCGCGACTGTCCACTCGCCACCGGTTAGGGCAGCGTGTACTTCACGTAGGGCACCTCCACGTCGTTGTCGTCCTCGTCGTTGCAGCACAGCTCGAACACCAGCGCCTTCACGTGCGGCTCGAGCTTCTTCTTCGAGACGGCGGTCACCACCTCCGACATGGGCAGGCTCAGCCGCTCCTGCTTCTTCGCCTTCAGCATGAAGAACGAGTAGAGCATGCAGACGCCCTGCGACAGCATGGTGATCTCGAGCTTGTGCTCGTTCTTGAAGTAGTCGAGGAACTGTTGCAGCGTTATCTCGCCCTTGATCTCGAACCGGTCCCACAGGGTCCACTTCTTGTCGTAGGTAAGTGTTCGTGGGCGCCGCGATCGGCTCCGAGAAGCCGAAGAACGGCAGCGCCAGGTTGACGAAGCCGTTCTTGAACACGTCCAGGGTGTTGAAGCCCTGCGCGAGCTTGTACAGCTCGAGGCAGACGAGCCCCGCCACCACGGAGGTGGTGGTGGCGATGGCGGGGATGATCTTGCCGGCGATGAGCTTGGAGCGCAGCCGGTCCGCGGGCGGGATCTTGTAGTTGGCCGCGCGCAGGTTGGACGCGGCGACGATGAAGTCCATGTGGAAGTTGGTGTCGTCGTCCTTCTCGAACTCGAGGGGCGTGATCTTGAGGTTGCCGAGCGAGCTGGGCGGCGGCAGCTCGGCGATTATGTTCTTCACCTTGTCCTGGTCCATCTGGTCGTTGTTCTGGGCGATGTAGTGCGTGTCGGTCACGGCGATCTTGACGCCGCGGCGCGGTTTGAATTCGGGCACCTGTGTTTGGAGAGTAAGTAATTTTAATCTCGGGATCATCATAGTTCACGGACACTGCAAATCATGCAAATAATAAGACAACACAATTCGCGTATCCCCCAACCTCTGCTGGTCAATTAAAACTAAAATATCGGTCATACCTCAACGCTAGCGGCCATTTTGGCGATCGCCTCTCTGTCCACACACGTGGGGATACCGTACACTTGGGCCCTGAGATTGGCAGCGGCCACAACGTAGTCCAGGTGCAGCTCATCCTCTGTGTCGAAGGTCAAGGGTGAGGGGCAGCGCTTGGGGCCCGACCAGAAGGGCGCCTTGCTGGCGGAGGGCTTGTCCGGGGGGAAGTTGAAGAGGAGCTGCTTAATCTGGTTGGAGTACTGCGCCTCCCAGTGAAGCCTGGCCCACGTCACGCAGTCCTCGAAGCTGAGCGGACGCTCGTTTATGGCGTTCTGAAACAATAGTCAACATTTATGACTCCGTGGTGCAGTTGCCAAGGTATTGGCTTCGGCGTCGGTGGTAGTGGGTTCGATTCCCACACGGGACAGATGCGAAACGACTCTCCGTTTCGCATCTGAGTGTTTGTCCAACTGAAATGTATGCTTGTAAAACGCCCTTACAACACAGGATAATGTTATCCTAAAGGGCAATGTTTTAAAAAAATAATAATTTATTATAAGATCAATTTACGCTAATAATAATTAGGCAAATATAATAATTCCTTAATTTGAACAATTTAGTCATATCATAAATGTTTTGTATTCCAAATGGAATACAAAACATTTCTTTGTATCTGAAAATTTTTTTTAAGTTGGCATGTTAGCGGGTCACCTGATGTGATTACCGTAGCCCATGAACATCTACATTACCGGAGGCATAGTCAAGCTTGAAAAAGTTGAGTCCTCGCTAAACGACACGCAAAAGTATAACTTTTCAGATGAGCCCAACCATTTATTTGTTCATCATTAGAAACTGCAGCATGGGTTATTAATAAATAAATTAGTACTACACACAAGAGTAGTGAATCCATCTGAAAAAAAAAAAACGTACCTAGTTTCTTATTAAATGTTCATCCATAGCTACATTACCCCAAGTATCATGTGCTTGTTTTAAATATTGCTAATTGAAAAGCCATAAAAAAGTAAAGTAACAGCCTATACATGTCCCACTGCTGGGCAAAGGCCTCCTCTATAGAGAGGGTATCAGGGCATAGTCCACCACGCGGCCCAACTGCGGGTTGGCGGACTTCACATATCTTCGAAATATATATTTTTTTGTTATTATTTCGAAAATATGCAGGTTTCCTCACGATGTTCCTTCACCGCGGAGCACGTGATAAGTCAGCACTTAAAGTTAAAAACTTCATTGGTGCCAGCACCGGGGATCGAACTCAGGTTGCTCGAGTATATTGAATTAAAGGCGAGCGCCCGGACACTGAGCTATCACGGCTCGTCGAAAAGCCATCTGAACAATAATTGACATATCACATTTAAATGAAAAGCAAAAATGAATAAAGAATATTTAGAAAAATTTATGTTGAGGAAATGAGTAGAAAAGTATGTAAGTATATCAACCACATTTAACATAAACTTTGGAAAAAACAAGCAGGCAGCCTAAAAAAACAACCCATAATGGACATGAATATGTATGGAGAGGCAAAGCAGCTGGAAATCCATAATCTCGATCTACTGATATGTGTGAATGGCTTGAGCTTTAATGTTATATGCCTTATAAAGAGTTTTTGGGGTGTATGTGTATACCAGTGTATGTAGTATGTCTTTTTTATATGAAAAGTTTCCAAGCGAGCAGGCGGTTCACTTGATGTTAAGTGAATACCGCCGCCCATGGACTTGTCCTACACCCGAGGGTTACAGATGCGTTGACAACCTTTTGAAAATTGGGCTCCAGCTACCTCACTCACCAGACGAAACGCGAAAATATTTATATACTTCCACTTTACGCCGGTCTTCTGTGAGGTTGTGGTACTAACCCGGACGAGCCTGCCCATTCGTGCACAGCTGAGGCTGCAGCTTGGCCCTACCACAGCTAATGTGTAATGAATACCTTTGACCGACGTTCCACAATAGCAAAGACCGTTAAGTATCTTTCCTTAGTTATCAAATAATTTCCACTGTCTAGGTCCAAAATTTTTCTCGAGCTTGTGAATATGAGGTGAAACATGTCGGGAGTAGGTGTATGGCGGGCCAGCTCACCCTAACGCTCTCGATGGCGTCCAGCGGCTGGCTGCCGGGCAGCTTGATGGTGCGCTCCAGGAAGTGGGGGTCGCTGACGTACTGCGCCGCGTGCTCGGCCGCCTGCCGGAACAGCCCCTCGAACTCGTCGCGCGCCCACTGCAGCGTGTGCTCGATCGCGTTGGGGAAGTTCTTCAGCGTGCAGATGGGGATGCTCTTCTCGGGCGGGTCCTGCGACGAGCTGTACGACTCCGTCAGGAACGGCACCACCACCTGCGGTGTGCGGTCTTGTCGTTAGGAAATCAGTGTAGGCTGGCGGTGAACAAAATGACAACGCCCTATAATTTTGATATGGGGGACAGAATTTGAATAGAGATTGCAAATATTTTGGATTATCACACAGAGAAAAGTGTATATAATAATTATCCATATTTATTAACATAATCTCTTATTGATTAATAATTTTTAACAGACTTTCAATGTTTATAATAGATACCTAATATATGTATACATCATAATAAAGGAATTTACAATGTTCAAAAAGTGGTTTTCACTACATACAGTTTATGCAATGAAAGTATTTCTTTATGTGAAAAGGTGGCAAGCGAGCTGGCGGTTCACCTGATGTTAAAAGATAGCTGCCGACCATTGACATTTGCAACACACGTACATTTGAAGACACGTTGCCACCTTATAATAAAGTTGGCCCCGGCTACCTCCCTCACCAGACAAAACGCAGAAGTATAACATTTCCACTTCACGGCGGTCGATTGTGAGGACGTGGTACTTCCCCGGACGGATCTGCCCATTCGTTCAACAGGGAAGACTTGCGTGGCCCAATTACGGTTATATTAATAATGGTCATTATTAACGGTGATCAGTAAAACAATATTGAGGGTCTAAGTTAGTCAATGATTATACCTGAGTGTTTCCCTTGGTACCAAGTGTGCCGCTCTCCAGCAGAGGCTTCCTGTAGTAAACGCAGCGACGGTCCATGTAGATTCTGGCGTCCACGTTGTCCAGGGCGTTGGCTACGCCGTCCAGCTCCTCGAAGAACTGGTCGTGGTACACGCACTCCGTCTCAGGGCAGACACGGTTCTCGTGGGCCACCACGTTCATCGAGGGATTCATTTTCTTGATCGCCTGCAAAGGAACAAGAAGATTGTTTAGCTAAAATCTTTATATATCAAAATTTAGCTTCAGCGTGTTTGTGAGTACAGAGCTCAAAATCTAGCTGATGGATCGATTTAATATTTGTTCATAACATAGTGAAAGGCGAGATTTTTCATACTTTTTATTCAGAAGTTTTAGTGGAAACGAAAACGAAAAATAGGCATAGTGAAGCGAGCCTGGATTTAGCTAGTATTCTATAAATAAATATTTATTAGCATATTATTGTGTAAAACGTCTTATCATGTAAGCTACTATTTGGCACTCGACTTCTTAACCTTTCTAGTAGTCTGTTTGTGGATTCTTTAGAAAATGTTAAAATAATGTATCGCTCCTCTACCTTGGCCGCGGTGCTGGACTTTGGCTTCTGGACGTCGTAGGGCCGGAAGAGGAATTGGCGGTTCAGGTTGGACTTCTCGATGAGGTCCATGTCGGTGACGGTGACGCGGCCGCCGTCGGCCCCGACGCCGATCATCGCGAAGTTCTTCAGCAGCTCGCAGCCGATGGCGCCGGCACCTGGGCGGGGCACGGCGTCAGTATTACACATGTTTATCACTTCGGTTGTTCAGCCATTCTTCTTCAGTTCCCGACATATCTTTGAATCGTGCATAATGCATTTTCACCTGGCATCTTAAACAGAACCATCAGGTCAGATTTAACAGTTATGATGAACTAAAGAAAATGTTTTTCTATGGCAAAGGTGGGCAAAGGCCGCAATGCTACTGCTTGAGTTGTAATATGGGATATATTACAACTCAAGCAGTAGCAGCCATACGGTATGGCGGACTATAAAAGATGTCGAAATTGATAGATTTCCTTAAGTCTTCTTCATCGCTGGGTTTTAAATCTATTGCAAGAGGGCAGTGAATTTCCCAGAATCAAAACCATTTTTAACGAGAATACTTTCATTGTCATTATCTATTTTGACTTTAGATACTGGTAAGTGCTTGTCTTCTATTTCAACTAACTCATAGACAATCAACAAACTAGCACAGTAAAAGCCTGATAGGATGTCATCCAATATCATAAGGCCGTGCAAAGAACTTGATCTTAGACTAGTACAAGCAATGTATAAACACGCATGAAAAATTCATCATTTAACGTGTTGCGAAGGCATTGTGGCTGTTATTTTCCAGGATTTACGCTAGTCAAGAGTTAGTACGGCTACGGCTTAATTAACTGAGTTAATCATACCCATATAATTATTGAACAACATCAATATATGCATAATAATGTTGAAAAACACGCATATAGATCAATTATTTTATTCATATACTGCATTTGAATGCACCCAAAGCCTAACAAAGACAGTCACCCGGTGCAGGATATATGTTGTCAGTGAGATATCGAGCCTTGTGGAGTTTTATAGAAGTTGTTTTTTTGTTTACCAGCGCGTTCCCAACGTTCGAAACGTTTAGGCGTGACTCGATTTTAATTCAACTGAGTCACCGTCAATGCAATGACAACAACTTTTTTTTTCGCTAGGATCAAGAACGCGCGTACGCGTTACATGAACTTTTACAACTGTGAACACCAAATCGTGTAGATTGAATATCTTTCTGTTAAAATTAGACTATTTTGCTTTCTGTTATATCTGTTTTTCCTTATTGCATTGGCAGATTCTCCTTCGCATGGGAGATCAAGAGTTGCTAAAGGACTGACTCACAGAATACACACAAACAATAGTTTAAGAACCTTACGACTCTCGTAGATTTACTACGGAATAATGTCATTATTAGAGTAAATTTTACCTCACCAGTTACGTATTATTGAACGCCTGGAAAAAACATAGGCGACCTAACTTACAAAGGTTTTCGAAACACCCTTATTTTAGGACGTGGGGGTGGCAAATGACGTCGGCCACGCGACGAAACCGTCAGTTATTATCGATCACTCAATTTCAAACGCAAAGCAAAAGTGCATTTCATAATAACTTGCTCGTATTATGACGACAAATATGCTATTATGAAAAGTGGCCAAGCCTTGGTCTGAAGGTACTTGTCGAAAACATGTTATATAATATGAGATAAACGGGTGTAGGATCAACCAGGGCCGTGCCTGACGGGCGTTCATTGCGTGCACCGCACGCAGGCGGCCGAAATTAAGAGGCGGCCAAATCGTTACAAGTTGTTTACTGGGCAAAAAAATACAATCGGTTTGTTTTCATTAAGATACGAAGTAAAAAACAGTTTCTCTAATCTAATCTATCTAAAAAGAGTTTCTCAGAAATAAGAAAGGTATAAAAACTGATTAGGTCGTTGTAGTATTTATATACCTAGTCATGCAGCGAATCCGAATTTTTTCGAACATTGCACGAGCGACGAGCCGAAATAGTTCTTTCAATTGACCGGCGTCGCGTAAGCGGTCTTATTCGTCTTATTAGTCGTATTAGTCTATAGACTAGCGAGGATAAATCGTTATTTGTGTCCTGTGAGTGATCCGATATTATTAAATTCTTTAATTTAACGAATAAAAATAAATTGCTTAATTCCTGAAAACTTTTAGTTGTGTGTTCGTGTGGTGAAATTTAATAAAAAGTTTATTTATCGTTCTCGATTTCGAAAGTTTTCTCGATTTAAAAAGTTTTTTTATCGTTCTCGATTTCGGTTAACCAAAAACTGATTTTTTTTCCCGGTTTGATGCCCTGTGTAAAATAATAAACATTAAAAATTAAAGTAGTTTTTTTTAATGTTATCCTGGGGGCGGCCATACAGACTGGCACGCAGGCGGCCATATACCCAGGCACGGCCCTGGGATCAACGTCATAATATTGTGTCCCTCTCTACTATTTAACTTATTTTTTATTTCTTTTATATGTAAAAATTCGTTAAACTTATGAAAGTTTTAACTTTGGTTCCAATTTAATTATTTGATTACCCAAACTGTTCAAGGTTTCATGAAAGTAACTAAACAAAGTATGAAAGCAATATCGCCCGTTATTATTATTCATCAAAACAAACTCTCACAGTATGTTTGTTGGTAAATTGATATTACTAAAAGGTGAACTACTGCATAAGGATAATCTGTTAATAAAACTATGATAGCTGAGTTGGGTTGGGGAAATATTATATATTACTAGTATTTTTGCTGCTTCGTATAGCAGTTTTGCATGAGCCAAGACCTGACAGAGAACCGTGAAATGGAAGTGCTATACTTCTGCGTTTCGTTCAGAAAGTGAGGTAACCGTTTACACTCCACTTTATTAAAAGACAATGAGCAATTCGAAAACCCACTAAAATTCACCAAAATTCTAACCAAAACTTCCTAAATGAAAGCATTAGAAGGAACCTGCTAACAACATTCATGTTAAAAGATTGCAACGCATCTATAATCCTACCGGTGTTGCAGATTTCCACGGTTATCATTTAACATCAGTTGAACAGCTCGTTTGCCACATAAAAAATAGGATTGTTTCAAAGAATTAAAAACATATCCGGATGCCGCAAACTGCGGTCGTGATGTGTGAGTTATTTATGTTATAATACGTAATAATAACAATTGGAAACAGTACGAAATTTGCAACACCCAAACTGTGACAGAAATACGAGGCTGTATCATCGTTAAACATATTTCAGTTTTGGGAAAAATCAATTTAAAAATCTTACAGTACAATTTCTCGATATCGACTCTGTATTATAACTATTATAAACCTAATGTTGAGAAGGATGTTCTTCGACAATAGGAAAAATATTTACTGTAACCGAAAAAATGTCAATAATAAATAAATAACGTTACGCGAGCAAAGAAAAAAGAAATGAAAAGGCAAAAAGTGTTTTCAAGTTCATTTTCTCACAATCTTTAATTTTGAATGAATAAGTTTTTAGTACTTAAAGTTCTTCGGGCTATAGTAAGTCCCCATTTTGTACAGCAAATATGTTTTCTTACGTCTTAATAATAATAAATATGATTTATTGAACAATTTTACATGGAGTTTTAGTGACCTTTTGACAGTGCCACGGACTCCAAAACTTGGTTGTCCCATCCCCTACTAGTTAATACACTTTTACGCCAATAAAAATAATTAAAAGTTTCTATTTCTGTAGCGGAATCGAATTCACGTACCGACGATGAAGTATTTGAGCTCGCCGAGCCTCTTCTGGAAGTGGCTGCCGAAGACCGCCACCTGGCCGTCGTAGCGGGTGCCGGTGGGCCTGCACGCCTCCTCGGTGAGCGCGGATCGATCCTTGGGCAGGCACTCGATCGCGTCCAGGTACAGCCACTGCACTATGGGGTGGAACTTGCCCGAGCACGCCTTCATCACCTCCTGCGCCACCACGCCGCCGATCGCCGCGTTCATTGGGTTCAAATCGCCCGAGGACACCTGCAATCACGCAAACGGTTATATACTGGACGGAAAGTACTACTTATGTCTGAAGACTCGACTAGAGCATTAAAACAAGTCATACTCACTTTGCAAAATGTATCCAGAAGCTCTGTGTTGAGCTCGAGCTCTCCGTCTTTGCAAATATCCTGATCCTTCACTATGGCCCTTGCATAGTCCAGGAATTTCGCTGAGTCGGCATCGCTCCAGGCTTGGGCAGGCGACCTTCAGTGTCCTTGAACTTATGGAGGCGGCGAAAGCGATGTGCAGCTGTTGGGGGTAGTCGAACTTCCCAAAATCGGCAATCAAGAAGTCTGGATCTCTGATGGACTCCTTCAGGGGCTTGAAGCTGATCTTCTTGGGCATCTTCACCTGAGTGACGATGCCGCCGCGTTCATACTTCGAGAAGTTGGTCGTATCTCCAATGCTGAAGGTGTATGGCCCGAGCACTTTGATTTTGCGCGGTTCACAACCGTTCAACTCGGTCATTCCCTGTACCTGTGCGATTAAAATATTCCATGAGACCTCGTCTCCACATATGGGTACTACTACAAAAGCATAAACATATCCTATGGTAGCCATTTTAAATGTTTTTTTCTTGCCTTTACACCAACCTGGACTCATACTATATAATGAAATAATTTGATGAGGAAAAGGTATGCTTGTGAGTATTTTAGTGCTGCATTGTGTGAACCTTTCTCAGAGGTTTATAAAATTATATCTTAGAGAAATAATTTCAAAATAAAAATTGCTCCTTATAATAGAATGTTAATAAATTAAAAAAAAAATGTTTAATAGATAGTTAAATAGTAACAAACTGAAGCCATACCAGTAAGTAAGCAAATGATAAGAGCATGCTATTTATAGAATTAAGTTCCATTAAAGGTGTAATCTCATGAGAGGTTTGCAAAGTAGTCATATTGTAGATTTTACTTAATTATATCTTTAAAAATTGATACCTAGTTTAAAATTAAAGTAAACCATGATAAAATCCGTAAATTATTTATATTATTTCATCTAGTTCATTTCATTATAATTTTAAGTTATTAAGATTTATTTGTTGATGGATGCATGCAGGGATGGATGCAGGTGGCTCAGGATCATACTTCATGGCAGTCTATGGGGGAGGCCTATGTTCAGCAGTGGACACAAACAGGGTGAAATGATGATGATGATGATGAAGAAGATTTATTTTGACACAAGGTAATCCTACTATTTTAATGAACTATCAAATAATAGCCTCTATTCATGTTCGAGAAACAAATTAAAACAAAACTCCATTAATTCTATTTTATAATTTATCATAAAATAAAGCTTCATGTACTTTCTTTTATGTAGATGATCAGCAACCGTTAAATTTAAAGAAGAAACCAATGTAATGGTAAGATGAATCACAACATAAACTATGTTTACAGATTTACGACATTTAATTTTAGTTTTAATTCCCAATGTTTTGAACCTTTTACAGTGTTTATGGTCACGGGACAGATGGGTCACGATTTAATGGACACGAGAGTCTGTCCTGTAATCATAAATGCTGTAAAGGGTTTGAAACGTCAGGAATTAAAAACAAAAAGTTAATGCAATAAATCGCGTAATTATTATAATACATGTTTTTGCCTTTTCATGGTGAATGGAAACTTTAATCTTACAAGAAAAAGCAATATCGTTAAAGTAATTTGTTTCTAACTGATAAGAAATGTGTTAAAAACAAAGAACTGTTGCTGGTATTTTATTTTGATTTATTTGTGCCAAGTACTGCTTTTATGTATTTATTAATATGCAAACAATTTCATTACTAGGTACATAATGAAAGTTAAAAAAATATTCAAAAGGAATTAACCTCAAATACTCTTTCACAAGGCCATTCCTTTGTTCTTCACATATGCTAAATTTATTAATATTATAATACTATTTAGAAAATAATTGTTGCAAAATATTGGGCAATACAAAAATAGAGCGAAAAATGAATATAATAAAATGGAATGCACCTACATCCCTTGAAACTCAAAACATTTATGTATGCGTCAAGTGTATTATGATCAGCCATGGCCATGACTTGATGCCGCTACAGAACTATGCCCTAAACGTTAAAGTATTGTTGTTAAAAAGGTAAAGCAATTTTTAGCTGAAATCGAAATTTCTTGTACCCTCAAATGTAAGTGAAAATAATATATGTCAATTATGTCGTAATAAATATCTTTTTTTTAAGATCTGTGATGAAAATAACACCAACCTCGCTAAACGTAACATAGTCACCGTCTTCCAGACCATGGCGAGTGTCATCCAAACAAGTAACAACTGCTTCATACTCATGAGTGATAACAGCCACCATAGCAGATGCAGGGTTTTCACCAGTTACATCTAAGACTGTAAATTCTGGACCAAAATCGCAGAAAACTTGTGAGAACAACCCCCTGGTATCAGCAATGACCAAGGCAATGTTGTTAGCATGTGTGATGGCAGCCACGCGCTGTTGTTCCGCCCAGGAGGCTTGAGTGAGCACCACGACACGGAACTTTTTCAAGAATTCTTCGGTTAAAGGTCCGGTATAAGCTGTAGTTGGTACATAATGATTTAATTCAGCAAGTTGTTCACATGAGGCAACAGCTCTGTTCTGACCTATGGTACTTTCAGACAAATAAAATTGGGACGATAAATCTGCAATGGTACAATTTCTATCATCATGAAGAGTGACAGACTTGACACCTCCAAGAATCACGTTTTTTGCAACTTCCACGCCGAGACCACCTAGACCAGATATCAAGACATCGGAGCTAGCCATTCTACGCATAGCATCGTGTCCCAGTACGTAAAGCTGTCTGGAATATAGACTTTCATCGATTTCATCTTCCACACGCGCTCCATTGTTCGCCATTGCTGCAGATTTGCAACGGGTCTCTCCTGTATTTAGCTTCCGCTTTTTCGCCGGGGGGTCAACGGAATTATCGGCGACTTCAGCACTAGACATCGGGCACGAACGCGCACAATTTTGGCAGAATTTTGCTTTGTGTTCTCCGGCACAATCAAGAAAGAGTCTTCAAATAATTGCGAACGACATTCGCTCTTCGCTTCTATGAAGGCCCGCTTACTCACTGTCATGAACTTAGGTACAAAGCAACGTGGAAAAATGTCTGCGGAAGTGGCTTCTGTCGTTTTATTTTATATAATCTATTCTGTATAAAAGAATACTATTAAAATTGATAAAATCTGTTTTTATTAATGGAATATTCCCCAATGAAAGCACAATATGTTATTTATAACTCATATTGAAGTTATATTTTTAAGTAAATTAAAATAATGACGCATCAACTTCAATCGAAATATAAAATATTTGAAGAATATATATATCATCAAATCTCTGTTTTCCTCTAATTATTTACGGTATTGAAACTCGTGTGTAAAATTTTTTAAGTTTTTAATATAATTTTTTTGTAAAGTTAATTTGTTGTAAACCCAATTTTTGCTTAATCATGTTGCCTTACCATTTCTCACTGTATTTATAAACTTACAGATTCACTATAATATAAAATGTAAGTGAAATATTTATTATAATAATTAATAATATTTTTTGGTATATATGTTAACATATTCTAAAATAAAAAAGAAGAATTTATTAACATACTAAAATCGATATTTCAACACTAATCGAGTTTTCGTAGTTAACAAACTTCAGACCAAATAATCCAATTGTTCGTTCATTTCTTTCTTTCTTCATTCATTGCTGTCGTTCTTGTCGCATACCTATTGTAGGCGAATTTGACGTTCGTTTATTTTGTTGTCATGTGTTATCGGGAGTGAAAGGACGTTGTGGTGGGTTATTTTCAACAAAGAAGAATCATATAGCTTTCTGTGAACAGAATGATTGTCGTGTAAACTAGTAATTAGTGCTAAGGATCTTGAATCCTATTTCAATTAGAGACGTCCAGTTTAGTGATCTTGGAATCATGGTGCAAGAATACGTTTCCCCTGTCAGGGTTCACAAATATTCGTTCGAAATGGTGATGGCTGTGAGTATTTGCTTTTTCTTACTCTTTTTTGTCTATCATTTGTTCGATTGGTTGCTGATAGTAGATCATTAACTATCAGAAAAATTATAGTGATAATAATGAAAGTTGCTTGCTTTGACTACATGATATGTGCTATACTGGAATAAATTATTAACAATACTAACGAAGAATATCGTTTCGACCTTACATACTTTTTTTTTTATTCATACTCCTGTAAAGTATTAAGCCAAATTTGCAGGAATCTGAAATATCAAGTTAATTTCAGGTATTGCTCTGAAAGTAAAGCAATATAGTGGAGAAATGAAATTTTATGTTACATTAATCTTGGTTAAATAGTAAATACGTTTTTTTATTATTTGAAACAGATTTATGTTAAAGTAATCTTATCAATAAAATATAGGTTGTATCTTATGCAAAAAAGTTAAACTTGTATATCTTAGCATACTAAAAAAACTAGAATTTGGCTCTTATCAAGTGATATAATAAATATCAGCAACTAATCTGATTTGTCAAGCAAGTAATTGTTTTTGTCTGACATATATACCTAATAGTAAATAGTATGAGAATATCAGTATTGACATTTATAAACAGTAAAACCTGATTATGTAAGGATAAGAAGAAAGGAGAAGGTGTTAAAGAGGTTTTATGTTGCATATTCAATTTCCTTACATACATTTTTGCATAAAAATAAAAACTTAACATTTAACATTTTGTGTGATTTTTAATGCATTCAAGATGCGCTGTTGATTTTTTCTACATACTTAAAAATATGACATACCAAATTTCCTGGGACCCATTTATCAATAAAACATGACTGTTTATTAATATTCCCAATTGATAAACATATTTTTTTTTTTTGATAAACAAATGGCAGTTTTTTGGCAGTCAAACTAGTCATTTTTAACATATGAAAAAAAAAATATGTAATAACGATGGACATATTAATGAACCCCTATGTAATGAGATACATTAAACACCACCTATCAATTATAAAACTTCAGATGGTTAATAACATTTATATATGGGATGAGTAGATACGAGAGAGGTAATGAAATCCTCATCTATCACTAACATCAACTACCACCTCCAATTATAATCTGCTTACAGACGGTTTATCAATTGCTACATCTTGGACAAAAGTTTAGTAGGATATAAAAAAATTAAGCATTACCTCACAGAAGACCGGTGTGAAGTGGAAATATAATACTTTCCCGTTTTGTCTGATGAGTGAGGTAGCCACAGCCCAATTTCAAATAACGCATCTGCAAACCCTCGGTTGTAGCAGATGTCCATGGGCGGTGGTATTCACTTAACATCAGGTGAACCACCTGCTCGCTTGGCAAATTTTCACATAAAAAAAAACTTTAAAAATATATCTATCATTTATAAATATATATCATTCAATTTGTAACACTATAATGTTTGTATAAAAATTTGATCTCAACAGAAAATTTCCATGTCCATTTATTTATATAGTATTATTTGTATACTAAATAGGCAGGTCCGTCCGGGTAAATATCACGATCTCACAGAAGACCGGCGTAGTGGAAATTTAATACTTCTGCGTTTCGTCTGCTGAGAGAGGTAGTCGGGGCCCACTTTAATAAAAGGTGGCAATGCATCTGCACCATAAGGTGTTGCAAATGTCCATGGGCGGGGGTTATCACTTAACATCAGGTGAACCTCCAGTTCGATTACCTCCTTCTCACACATAAAAATAAGCGCCATAAACAATTTAACATTTTAAGATTTTTGAGTAATGGAGTGATCTGTTATTACCAAATAAAAATACACGTATATTATACCAATTGTACCGGTTAATCTGTGTAGAGGTGCTGAAACGCGTCATGCACACAGACGAAGCCGCGCTAATCGGCGTGTATGCTCAACCGTTTAGCGAGTGATTGCTGGCGCACATGGCGGCTTCGTCGTCACATTGGTACGAGGAAAAGCCGTGTGCCCTTGGCGGATTGTTTTGTGTATTTGACATTGTCGAGTGTGTTTATACTTAATTTTCCTCCATTCTCACGTCCCTCGAGGCAGTGTATCGGACGTTTTTATAAATTTACAATGATTTCTGAAGCCCATTCAGGCTTACGGGGCTTGCCTTGCTCGACTGAGACTGCTCGGGTGAGTCTTCTTTTACGCGTGCTGTGTCTTTTTCTTCAGATAGTTTCCAAAATTCAAAGCGAAAATACCATACAACAGAGATTGATAGATTTTAGGGTGGCAACTGCTGTTTGATATATTTGATCTATGCTAACCCTTACATCAGAAATCATATTAGGTATATTTTCCGGAGTACCTGATAAAATTAAGAAAACGTAATAAATGATCATGTTTGCCCTCGGCAATGTCTGTGAGAATGACATCTGAGATCATGTTCCGAATCCTCGTGAATTTCAGGATTGTCTACCTACCACCCATAATCCATTTAGTTATACGATGGTTATTAAGATGTTTTCACATAAATATTAGATGTTTTCATATAAATAGTTTTGATAGCAACGAATATAGAGCTCGTCCCATGATTTTTCGCAGGGTCGCTTGATTACCTAAAAGTGAAAGAGACGCATATTCGATCTTCATAATGGAAAACTGCGACAGTTGCTTATTGAATGGATAATTATCGAATTTGTATTCGCGTTGCTCCTAACTAGACAAGCGTCGAAACTCAGCCAAACTTGGACTCGCCGTAATCGCTGAAGCGATAAATATTTATTCGTAAATGTTTTTGGTCAACGAATATCGTCTATGACGCAAGCGACCGTGCAAAAAGGGTGTATGAAAAGGACGCCTATGTTCCTAAACCTGCTGCTAGCTTACAGCTAGCACTGGCTCCAGCTTATTTGGCGCTGGACGAATGACCTGAATGTCTTTTTAACTAAACATTGATCGCAAAATTAAATCCTAATGTATAAGGATTATGTTGGCGCTTCGAAAAGTTTTTGTATGATATACCTACATAAATCTTGAAAGTGAGGTATCTAATTATTTTAATAGGCCACTAAAGTTTGACGTGCAGAGTTAAAGACTTAGGTTAGCCTGTCACTCGTCATGTCCGCTTTACATCAAGTACAAGAACAAATCTCTAAAACAAGTCAAACCAAATCAAATCAATTTTTCATCGAAATAAGAAACATGTATTTCGTCTATCGATAGTCATTTTTCAGTCTACCATCATCTTTTTCCTCAGACATGAACATTGCATTAAAATATTAAACCTATTTATATTTTTTATTAGAAATAGCTTGGGAGCGATCATCAAATTCCCAGCGGTTATTATCATTAATGTATTCACTTATATTAAATTAACTAATTTTTTAAAGTTTAGTTCTTTATTAAATAGACAGACTTCGCACATTAACAGGGATTTTGATGTAGAATTGCTTACTCTATGGAGTCTAGTAACGTGTTTTTTATTTACATTATGAGTATTTTTATTAAAATTATTAATGTTTCTACGTACAGAAGTTATTACATTTTCATATACTTTATCTTGAGAGGCCAAGGTTAAAATATTTCTTTAAAATTCTCTCTCAGAGATGCTTTCGAATTTCGATTATGAATCACAAGCGCCATTAAAATCGCTACAATAATTTATTTTCCGTTTCAGTGACACAGCCCAGCCCGGCTTTCCTTAGCATTTTTCCAAGGCGAATTGAAATCTATTGTAATGCAACTATGGATTGTTTTCCACCGAGCCAACGTGTCCAATTCGGCCGGAAGGATCTTGTTAATGATTTCACTGGTTGCTTTTAGTCTCATAACGGCTGGTTATATCGTGCGATTTTCGATCTTATTTTCTTGCTGGTTTAGTTGAAAATCGTTTTTATCCCCCTAACTGCCTTATACTCCCGTTCAAGCGATTTTAATTTTAGTTTCGTTCTCTACAAAGTTTTGTTTCGCACGGTATGAATTTTCGGAGATTTTGATCAATTTAATACTTTAACGCGTGTTCGTTATGGTCGAATTTGTATCATTCTCGGGGCTTATTGCTCCGGGTGGGGTCGTTGACCCGTCAGCTGTGCTCCTCGGTGGGGACATCTTATCTTGGGAAGCAGGGCGTAGCAACATAAAAAATGCTCGACCACATAACTAAAAATGTTTTTTCTTTTCGTTAATTACGCATGCGTCACTTATTCTTATGGTGTGACAGAGGTGGTAAGGAGAAATACATTTTTTAGAATTGGTTTTCAATAAAGTAACGCACGCAAAAACTATGGTAAGCAATTATGGCCGCAATTATTTGCTAACAACCAGATTTGTTGAAACATGTCTTTAAAGTTTTTTGCCACTTTTTGCGTGTGTCGGTGTGCTTGAAATCGTCGACTGTTCCTGACCCTTTACCGTCATAAATTACGATAGATGATTTTTATCCGTGTAAGCAAAACTTCAACGATTCGTAAACCCAAAGGTGCGAAAAATTATATTATTATATAATTATCCGATATACGCTAATACGTGCTGATATTGAGTTTGACGATTCGGCTGGCTTCATTTTAATCAGATACGCAAATTGTCGTTTTTATAGCACAGTGATTATGCATTTATGAAACTTATTTACGGATTTATCGCGGTTTATTTTAATTTTAAACTCTCAAGGTTTCGAACTACCTACCTAACATATTCATGGTCACAGTAGAGTGCGGCCCAAATTAGTCAAAATACTTTTATACAAATGTGTAATATTTGTATACCACAATATATACACATTTGAGTAATTATTATGTAATTATGTTTCTTAAGTTTGAGAAGAGAATATGAGAACAAATATTAGTGTATATTTATAAACGTATATAGAAACATATGTAACCTATATATGTAATATATAAAATTCTTGTGTCACAGTTTTAGTGTTTATACTCCTCCGAAACGGCTGGAACGATTTTGATGAAATTTTATATGTATATTCACTATGTATAAGAATGGATTTATAATGTTTTTTTTTCTATCCTACAAATAATTTATATGGCAAAACAACGTTCGCCGGATCTGCT